TTTTTTTTTTTTTTTTTCTCAGTTCCGCTTGTTGTTGCACACTTCCCCTTTTAACCCCTGCACCCTTTACGAACCAAACGATGTTACGAATACGTTACACCTATGTAGTGCTACTTCTCTACATGATTATAATTTTGCTAGCTTCATCAGACGGAAGGAGAAAAAAAAAAGGTGTCCAAAAGGAACTCGCCGGGCGGCGCTCCTTTCTTGGTCCGGGCATAAACATACGTGAAGTGAAGATACACGAGCAGTGGAAAAAAAAAAAAAACACACTGGAGTCAAAGTTGGGCGTAAAATTGAAATTCACCTTAAAATCGACTTCCACGTCGACGTCAACGCCAGAGTCTACAACGCCAACTTCGACAACGCCGAAGGGGGAATTGCCCTTCCCGTATGACAGTGTGAGAATAGGCCAGGGCTACGACATTCACCAGATACGGGTCGGCCCCCCGGAAGACATCACCGCTGACTCCACCGCGGACTACACAGCGCATGCGAACAAGCAGAATTTCAAAAGGCTGACCATCGGGGGGGTGCAATTGGACAACATTTCTGTCCTGTCGCACAGCGATGGGGACGTCATTTTTCACGCATTAGTGGATGCCCTACTTGGCGGCATGAATTGTTCGGACCTGGGAACCCTCTTTCCTGATGGATCAGAAAAATATAAAAATAAAAACTCACTTTCCTTTTTAAGATATGCCAGACTACTTTTGTATAAAAAGAATTACGCCATCGCAAATGTAGACATCATCGTCATTGCGGAAGTTCCAAAAATAAGTCCCATTAGGGAGCAGATTGTTCGAAATATATCTTCTGCCCTGGGCATCTCGGAATCGCAGATCTCCCTCAAAGGTACGCATGCAAGTGTGCACACACAATCGTACTCACAAGTGTATACCCAAATGTGTGTACTACACGGGTGTTACAACACATCACACCACACACTTGTTCCCCCACGCGCAGGAAAAACACACGAACAGCTCGGCCCCATCGGACAGAAAAAGGCAATCGAGTGCTTCGCAAATGCCCTTTTAATTCGAAAAAAATCAGAAAAAATTTGAAAAAAAAAAAAAAAAAACTTTTTTTTTTGTAAAACTTGGCGAAGCAACCTCCAGTCAACGCAGTCAATTGGGCTGTACTTTTCCTCGCGGGGAATAATAATAATCAGTTGTTCAAAGTTGGCCTCTTTTTTTTTTTTTTTTTTTTCCTTTTTAACTCTATTTCGTGCTTTCCTCTTCGCCTGCGCCCAATTCACTTGGCGGAGGGGCCCTCCGGATTGCAATACTGCAGAATGGCGTACCTGAAAGGGGGCAAAGGGTAAAAGCATTAGGGTGGGGGTCAATTCAGAGTACCTTTCGACCCGCGCTGGGTCAATTTAATTTAATGTGTTTGCTTTTTTTTTTTTTCTTTCCGTCCGTTTCGTATTACTCCCCGTAGTTGCACCAGTCTGGGGACTTCCTGTTCAGCTCCTCCACGACATCTCTCTTGAGACCACAGCTAGAAGGGGAAAAAAAAAAAAAAAAAAAGGGGAAAGGTGTATAATTGGACAACTGCACAATGTTCATGAGGAGAGGTGTGGTGCTGGCTGGGGACGACCTACCAGATGGGCGACTTCAAGCATCGCAGGGCGATAAACCTGATGGGAAAATACCCCAAAACTTCCTTGTGGGGATGCCAAAAGTTGAAGCTCAGGTCACCCAAGCATCTGCGATAATTAGCATCCCCCTTGAAACAGACGAACGAAGTTCTTTTTAATTCCTCCACGAGGTCCTTGGGCATCACCCAGTAGGGCAAGGGAAGGTTCCAGTACACATGTTCCTGCGGTGAGGGGGGGGAGAAAGCCAAGTCGTACATGGTAAAAAGTGAGACAGACACGAGATTAAGCTGGTCAGCAAAATTTTATAAGCGGTGCGAGCCTCACTCGTATTTTCCACTTCTGGGTGTTAAGGAACTGCTTCCACTTGGTCGCCATGAATACCGTGTTGGGGTACTTGAAAAAAAAAAAAAAAAAAAAAAAAAGAATGAAACGGTCAATCGATTGGACACGATGCAACATGCGCAGGGAAAGCTCCACATGGATAGGCGAAACGTTTTGATGAGAGACACATATGACCGGTTCACTTCTTCTTTTTTATCTCCCCCCTCCCATTTACCTTATCGTCGCTAGTGAGGGATTCCAGGGCGTAATGGACATCCTTGGCCATGGTGTCCGACACGAAGAGGGGGAATTTCTTTACGTGAATGTAAACTTGGTCGAAGTAGCGACTCAGCAGGTGCAGGAGGCAGAGGTCCGTGATGAACTCCAGGCCCATGTTATCCAGGACGATGTCGAATCGTGGCCAGTGCTGCGGCAGAAGAGGGAAAAAAGGGGGGGCAATTAGTGGGTCATCCGCTTGACCAGGCAACCGATTAACCGCTTCACCGCTGCACCCCTCCTACCTTCGAGGTGATGTCCCTGCACAGGGTCTCCATGTCGTTGCAGAGAACCTTGTCCAAGTACATGCTATCGTGGAGCTTGTCCAGGTCCTCCGTGCCAAAGTAAAACTGCTTCTGCTGCAAAGTCTTTTTCTTTATATCAGTTTCGTCCGCCCTATTTTGCTGCCCCTTATTTTTTGTGGGATTCCAACTCAAATCGAACTGATTAGACCACAAGGAGAAATAAAAAAAAACAGCAAACACCTTTTCGTCTTCATTCTTATCGTATAGTTGAAGTAACTCTTTTGCACATGTACATATTTGTTCAATCAACTCTTTGTTGCATTGTATGGAGTCCTTTTTTTCGTAATCAAAAAAATCATAATTTGTTTTTTCAAAATCGTATGAACAGGTCAGGTAACGATAAAAATAATATTCATTAAAAAGCCACGAATTATTAATAATTTTTGTTCCTGTTTGGATGAAATAGGAGAGCAGAAATTCCCAAATGTGTTTGTCTTCTTGGCAGTTCAACATTTCGTATGTATGTTTATGTCCGTTTGTAAAAATTTCTCTGATTTTGGCTAATTTGACGTCTATTTGGTTTTTCTTCGTGTACTCTGCGTTGTGCTCCTCCACGCCTTTCAGTATGCGCTGGGGGATCCGCCTTACGATGGTGTCGTTTTCCTGCGCGGGGAGGAGGGCAAATGGTCGACATGTGTGAAGGGGCAGCGTTATTGCAGCCGTGTTATTACAGCCGCGTGAGTGTGCAACCGCTACACCCCCACAGAAGTACCATGCTGTTCGGCTGGTTGCACGTCAAGATGGGCGGGAGAAATTCGTCCTCCCCCCGGAGGTAGGAATACTCCTCCTTGAAATTGTTGTAAAAGTGGCGAAAGTACATTTTGCGGGACAGAACTATGTGGGGTTCTCTCTACAGTCACGTCAAGAGGAACAGAAAAATAATAATAATAATAATAATAACAAAAAATAAAAAATACTCTCCGCAATGTGTTGTGTCGAAGGTGTATATGTGCTCGACGTTCTAACGCATTAATCACTAGGAAGGGGACAATGCCCTTTTCAATTACAAATTTGTTTAAATTTAAGGTACCCTTTCAAATGCGAACCGTTACAATTTTTTTTTTTTTTTTCTTTTCTCGTCCTCACTGCAGAGGAGAGGTAAAAACTATATCCGCTACCCGTGCAGCTCTGCAAAAACGCGACCAAGAATGTCGAACTGGGGGAGCTGCCACACAGCTGCAGAAATTACCCGTTCAGAAAAAAAAAATACAAGCAACAGTTTTTTTTTTTTTTTTTTTTTTTTTTTTTTTTTTTTTCTGAGGTGAAGACAAACACAAGGTGTGATGGAAACGGAAGAGGGATGCTCATAAAAAATGGTTTAATTAAAAATAAGTTGTCTTCAAATGCGTACTTGCAAAAGGTCGGGAAGGGGGAAACGTATGTTTCTCTCCACTTCCCATTTGGACTTGTGGACGAGGTAAACGAAAAAAAAAAAAAAAAAAAAAAAAACTCAACATGGTGAACGCTACACACATGTAAAGTAAAAGTACAAAACTACATTCGCATGCCTGTTCGTACGTTGCCAGGGTAGCACGCTTTGACCCTCCATTCTATAAGCCGGACAACACGAGAGGGGGAAAGATGACCTCCCGACGTGCTATGTTCGCCAGTCCATTCATCGTCATCTCTTCCTTCCCCTCTGCTTCACATCCACAAAGGGAACTCCATAAGGATAGGTAACCCCGATGTTATACTGCTTGTGAATTGTCCCTTGAGACAGATCGACTGAGGTAAAGAGACAACCATCCAGTGTACTTAACCCGTTAATGTAATAGGCCTCATCCTGACCGCCCTTACTTCTAACCGGGTTAAAGTTGTGATGACTATAAAATCGGTTCGGTAGGTACATGGCATTTCTGTGTCTCCTGGTTGACTCCATAACAGATGCGCCGTTCCCTTCAACCTCACCACCTATCCCCTCAAAGCTTACCTCTTTGTAACCTGGAAGCAAACTAGCAGGTACCCTCCCTGCATCATAGAAGCACGTCTGCTCTCGAAGTATATCATTTGATGCGTCGTATTCTCCTTTGGTGAAGTAAGGATCCGTTGGTTCTGCTGTGTACCTTTCGAGGGGTACCTCTTTGGATGTATCCTCCTGATCTTCAAGTGACTTCTCTGTAATGTGACCTACCTGTGCGCTGTCCACTTCGGCCCCTTTGCCAAGCGAAGATGATTCCATGACTGACTGCTTAGCTCCATCGGTAGAGTCCTGCTCTTGGTGGTTGGCCCCAGAGTCTGCCTTCTCAACAAGTAATCCATTTTGTGTGTCTCCATTTTGCGAAGCCTCACCTTCCGCCTTTCCGTTCGCCCCCTTAGCCATGTTCAAGCCCTTTTTTAATCCTAGAAAATTTCGGCTAGCTTTATTTTTTTTTTTTTTTGCAAACTTTTCCAGTGGTGTTAGTAGCTTACTGAGTTTGTAACTTTTCCTTCCTCCGGTGGCAACAGTTGGTGTGTTTAAGTTGGACGAGTAGAAATTTTTATTTTTTTTTAGAGGAATATTTTTTTGCAGAATAATCAAGTGGCTTTTTTTTTTTTCTTCTTGTGTGTTTGCTTTTACGTCTTGTTTTATCAACTTGCTTCCAATGTGATTGGGGTGCGTACTTTTCTTAGCGGACCGTTGTGAGTTGCTACCGCTGTGTGTTGTTCCCCTTAAACTTCTTCCACCGTGTTTTGTTCCTCCCGAACTGGCGCTCCCTGTGTGCGCCTTCGAAACGAGCCGCCCCAAGAGGTCAAACTTGTGTGCGTACTTCCTCCACCCCTGGTGGCTATCCCCATGCCCCACCTCAGAAAGAACTCTTTCCAGGACATGTAAATTATTTCTTCTATCAGAAGGTAAGACAGAAATACTACCTGTTAATTTTGGACTCAGATTTTTAGATTTTTTTGCCACGATTTTTCCTTTCCTCTTTTCTGGAATGTCCTTTTTTAGCTTTGTTTTGTGTAGCACGTTACTGCCATATTTTTTTGACCCACTTTGACTAGTTCCGCTACTTGACCCGCTGAGGCCTCCTCGTATCGTAACGCTCAGGTTCATTTCGTCCGTGATGGGTTAAATTCTGTCTTGTTGCCGCGCCCCGTGTGTCCTGTCCTGTCCTATTATATATTATGCTGCGTTACGCTGTGTTGTTCTTTGTTGTGGGATGGTTCCCCACGCTGGGTGTGCTGCGGTTCTTCTTTCTTCCTACTTGAGTAGGTGTACCCCCGTGGGCGCCACGCAAAATGGTGACTTGTTTTTAAGCAAAAAAAGAAGAAGCCTTTACAAAGGGAACACAAAGAATGAAGCACTTGGCTGTATATAGACTCAGGTGACACGCAAACGGCACATGCATCCCAAGTGGGAATCTTCCCCGTTGCGACGTTTATATATCGTCCCTCGTGAGTTAAACGGAAGTGGAGTGATTTTCCATCATCCCCGTCCGGGACTGTGGATACGGTTAAGAAGCCACACACACACAAAAAAAAAAAAAAAAGTGGGCGACGTAACGTCGTAAGCTCATTAAATGGAAAATATAATAACTTAAAAAAAAAAAAACACTCCAAGTGTAGGAGGGATGAAGGAATGATTGCACAGACAAACAGATCTACACGCAATGGAGGAATTACCGCAAGGGGTGGTGGCCCATTTTTAAAAAGACCATCTAGCTGTACGATTAACCATTTTTTTTTTTTTTTTTTTTTTCTGTGCCATTTTGCAGAAATGTTCTGACTTGTTCAGGCAAAAAATTAAAATGGGAAACTTAAAGAGTGGACATACACACACGGATGGGGAACGCACTTGGGAAATTTTGTTCAGGGTTTAGACAGCACTGACTTAATTATGTCCTAAACAAGGTCACAACGAGTACACACATCGTAAAAGTTTTTTTTCGTGAATAAGGGATGGCCTTTGCAGTACCTAGCTAAGGGAAGGGGGACCAAACATATAAGTACATGTCTGTACTTGTACGTTATATACCTATCCTTACGTCTGCGGGATTTGCTACCGCCCTCACACTAGCGCACACGTAACTGCACGCAGAATTTGGAAGGGAACCAAACCGCGCAGTCTGTCCACAAAAAATTTTCCAAAAGGGATTTTACCAATATGAGTGAGTTAAGTTTTGCCTTTAAGGAAAGATGACACAGGAATAATTCTCCTGTTGCGCTTATCGTGAAGGGAACAGGATGGGGTTACGTCCTCACCCCAACTTCCAACGTGGATGTAGCAGACATGGAACGGAGAGGAGGTGGTTGTGGTGATGCTGGTTGGACCCACTTGAACAAAGCGTGTGCAATTTTTTTACATGGTCACTTGACAGGTAGCTGTTCCATAAATGTACGGTGTGAATGTCCATGTCAATGTTCAAATTAGCCATTTGGGTGATGTCCCCTCGTGTGTTATATATAGTCTATGCTGCGCTGCCAACCCAATTTGAAAAACGCATAAATGGAACAAAAAAAAAAAAAATTAAAAAATAAAATAAATATAAAAGCTACGTTGAGAGACAGGAACAAGACAACCTCACCAATGTTGTAACTATCGCAGAGGTTTCACTATTCACTAACCGCACTGGGAAGTGAATCCCCCCAATGGATGTTCCTTCTGATTAACGTTCACATGGGCAAGTTAGGATGGGTCATTTGGGGCGCGCCTCTTGCCCTTTTTGGTGTCCGTTCCGGTAAATTCACAGAAGTAGGAGAGGATGCTGAAGTTGTGGATCTCCCTGAGGGGCTTCGAGGGGAGGAGGGCGAAGTCCGCGAAGCAGTCCTCGTGGGCGCACCACTTTTCAAAAGCCTGTGGAAGAAGGGGGTGGGGGGGTGTACCCCGCGTGGACAGGTACCGCTGTGTAGTATGTGCACAGGTACCGCTCTTCATGTGCAGAGGCTGGCCATGTTGCCAATGTGCGCGATTCGCGGCATGGCCTTCTCAATCGACTTACCGTGACGCACAGCGGGAAAAGGAGGAGCAGCAGCAGCGTGAACACCCAGAAGAGAACCGCGAAGACGACCCAGCCCTGGGGAATGAGTTTCATCTTCTCCTTCAATTCGTGGCTATAAAATACCCCGTCAGCAAATTCAATAAAGGCAGAAAGCAAAATGGACGTTCCAATGTACTTGATGCACACAGACCACGCCATGGAAATATTTCCCATGAGGACGTTCCCGCTGATGATCCGTTGTAGCTCCTTCCTAAGCTCCTCGATATTTCCAATGTACAGGATGTACAGGATTTGCTGCGCGGGGGACGAAGCAACATTATCAAATAAAGAGGCACACACAAGTGAGGACTACTGCATGCACCCTGGTGACAATTAGTAAACGTCCGTACAGATAGGGAAGTGATCCCATGTGTGTGTGTTCCCCTCTCCCTTCCCATCGCTGCCGCTTTTTTTTTTTCTTCTTTTTTGTACCTTGTAAGTAAGATTGCTCAAGTGTTTCTTCTTCTCCCCCTTTTTCGTTTTCATTTCCTTCTTCAACACCCATATGGCAAGCAGGGTGCTGATCACAAATATTCCTAGCCTCACAATGTACAGCACGTATACATGGTAGGGGAGGTAATTAAAGAGGATGCTGATTGATATGTTCAATGTCCAGTAGGTCAAGTTGAATGAGAGGACGCCTGTAGGTGTGTGTTGGCAGGGGGGGTAGCGACGAGGTGAGATTTGGACGAGTGAACGAGTGATTGTTTATTTGTGCTCCTCTCCATTTGACACTGCAGGATGTACAACTACTCTGTTGTACGAAAATGGTTTGGATAATTTGACAAAAGGGTTTTTTTTTTTTTTTTTCCCCTCTTGTCTCTCATGTTCTTTTTACTCCTCCTGGTCAGATGGCGACACTGAAAATCGATGTTGTACAGCCAACCCAAAATGACGCATATTAAGAGGGAGACAAAGACGCGCGCATTTTCCGATATGGTGAGGGACAAAAACCATAGGATGTTTTTTGTATCCTTGTTCGAGATGAAGAAGGAAGACAGGAAGAAGAAGAAGGACAGAGTTAAAATGATGGTTCTCTTATGAACGTTCTTGGAAAATTTGAAATTCCGTATTGTCATGACTAGGACTTCACACTGTATGGCTAGCGAGGCACATGACAGGATGGTGTAAGACCCGTAGTACAGCATGCACAGGGTTTTCTGCCAAGGGGGGGCGGGGGAAAAAGCGCACACATACACATGTGTGGAGAGAACGGCACGGCTATTTGGCGCCGTTAGAACGGATCAGCGAAAAGCGGGCTCTTGCGCTGTGTCCCCTACCTCCATCTTCTGCAGGTATGTGAAACCCACGGGGAAGAGAATGAAGGAGCAATCCTTCCTCGAAAACTCCAACATGTCCACGAAGCTGGAGTTGATGCTGTTCGCGATGAACCCGATGACGGAGACTGGGTGGTAGAGTGGAAAAGGGGAGGGGGAAAAAGCGGCGTGGTTAGGACGGGAAGTCGCTTCGCGGTGTGGTTGGCAACAGGAGGAAGTCGCTTCGAGGAGCCACCTGCTGAGAAAAACATGAGGGACGAGATGATGGAGTTCCACGTCGTGATTGCGTAACCGTCAAAGGCCAAGTTCGTCCCGATCCTGCAGGGAAGTGGTGGTGAAGGGGTGTGCAGGGAAGTGGTGGTGAAGGGGTGTGCAGGGAAGCGGTGGTGAAGAGGTGCCAAGTGTGCGTGTGTAAAGTCTGCGTAAGGGGACGTCCCCTACCTGGTCTTGGTCGCGAGGGACGCGTATATGCCCATGCCGATGGACAGCTCGTAGAGGGAGAAGGACACGCACTGGGACCAGATGGACGAGTAGGTGTACAGGTAGGAGAACTTCCAGGACTCTGCGCAAGGAGGAGGAGTGAAGCAGCCGCGAGATGTGTCAAATGGGCAGCCGCTAATGGGCTGATGGGCAACCGCTCCCCCGCTTGACGTACTGAGGACGTAGACGTAGGCCTGCGTGGCGCTGGTCAAGTTGAACATGGTGGCGAACTGCGTGATGGAGAGGAAGCCGATGAGGAGCAGGACCAGGGCCGAGGAGAAGGCAAAGTTGGTCAATCCCAGGAGCTGAAAAACAGTTACAAAAAAGTTACACACAAAAAGGAAGATAAAGGTGTCCTTGTCTATGTAGGAAGTGCCATTAGAAAATACATGAGCGAAATTTTGGCTGCCATCAATGTGAAGTAGTCGGTCATAAAAAAAATTATGTGGAAAAAATTTGTTCTGGTAAATGAGGAACGCTTTTCCTAAGCTGTTAGGGACACAGGATGAGATGGATTTAGAAAAAAAACAGAGTGGTCTGAATTTGTGACATTTTATAAAATCATTTTTAAAGCTTGTACAGAAATTTATTTCCTCCTTGTTTAGTTTCCATGGAAGATCCCGTTTAAACGAATTAATTAAATAAATAAAATATTCAGCAGCTGTCCTGTAAGTATTTATATAACCATTAATAAGGCATGTTAGAACCATTAAGAAGCCAACAGAAGCACATTGCTTGAGGAGTCGATAAAAGATAAATGGAGAGGACGTTCGAATAAGTTGTCCTATGTACAATTCAAAAGTAAGGATAGGATGACAAACGAAACAATAACATATGATGTATGGAAGTACAAATATAACTCCATGCCATGTAGACATTAGCGACCAAAACGTTTCAATATTTCCAACTCCAATAGCAATAGTTAATCCTAGAAGAAATAAGGAGAGTCTCTCTAGCCAATATCCTTTACTTAACTGATAATCTAACCACTTCAATACTTTTACATTAGCTTTCTTTAATGTGCTTGGGTTTTCAAACAGATCACTTAGCTGCGATATATATTCTGGTGTATATCTTAATTTAATTAATTGCTCTAGAAAATTCGTTTCCTCTTCTTGTGACAAATTACTTGAATCACTCATGCTATTTAAATCACGCAAATCACTTAGTATATTTTTTTTGAATCCATTTTCTCCGATAACCATATCTGCACGAGTGGGTGCAGCAAGACAAACATCGGTTGCATTTTGTGAAAACAAACTTTCATTTTTTTTTATCACTACTCCTCCTCCTGAAGCAAAACTTTTATTAATTAAACCACTCATCATTTGTCTCCTCCTCGTCTGCTCATGCGGTTGCTGCGGTTGCTGTTGCTGCGGCTGATGCTGCTGAAACTGCTGATGCTGCTGAAACTGATGTATATCCCTGGGCCCCTTCATAATGGACCTCCCCTCCGAAAACATCTCCATATACTTCTTTCTAAACAGGGTGACTTGTTCCTTTTTCCTTTCCCTGTAGAGGTACTCGTTTAGGTTTCTTTCTTGTGTGTAGTTTATCGGTTCGGGTGTTGTTTCCCCCACACAAAGGTCTGTTCCCCCCTGCAGATCATCATTGTCATCTCCAAAGTATTTCTCCCTCCTCAACTCCCTCTTTAGGTTTACGTAAAAGTCATTTTGGTATCTCTTCCTGATGTACTTGTTTCTGTTGTTATACAAACTCAGGGCCTCATTGTAAATCATCTCCTGTTCATAACTCCTTGTGTAATTAGACCTCTTCACATAATCGATATACGAATCCATAGTGTTACAGTTATACACATTTGACATTTTATAATAGGTGTTATTTTCGCTATATGTGATTGCCTCATCGTATAGCACCGCCCGCACCTTTTTCATGCTTATGTTTTCCGGCAGCGCCACGGCGTCCCCATTTTTATCGTCCCCCTCGGACGCATCGTTACTGCTTCTGCTGAAGCTGGACTTCACTTTCGACGACATGGCGGCGGGGTGAAGCGGGGTCAAGCGGGGTCAAGCGGTGGAAGTGGGTGAAGCGGCTCAAGCGGTTGAGGCGGTTGCAGCAGCAAAGGAGGAGCTACTCACCGCGCTACCAACAGGGCCTGCTCGTCCGTCCCGCAAGACTCTGCGGAGGGAAGCACACACGGGTGTAAAAGGACTTGTGTGTGCACGTTCCCCCGTGTGGTCTCGGTCCTGGATCGAGGCACTTCTCCAAGCAGTGCGAACAACGAAAAGGAAAAACGGAAAATGCGGAGAATACTAAAAAAGATATACAAAAAAAAAAAAAAAAAAAAAAAAAAAAAAAGAAAAAAGGGGAAAAAAAAAAAAAAAAAAAAAAAAAAAAAAAAAAAAAAAAAAATGAAAGAACGAGAGAGCGCAAGAGCGATAGATCTGTTACACCTCCGACCAACACACATTCCCCTTTTTGGCCTTCCCTAGATTAACCCTGTCGCCCCTTACACGGGTACCTCCCCCACCATCAATTCATTCATTATTGCATATTGATCAGTGGTGCACTAACCAGCTGTTAGTTGTTAATTAAAAAAAAAAGGGATGCTATAGTTCACCCAAGGGGGTAAAAAAAAACTCTGTGAATTTTTCACACATATCACTTCCGAAGCACTTGTGCGCGCCACGTTTTTTTTTTTTTTTTTTTTTTTTTTTTTTTTTTTAAAGTGAATGGCCAAAGCGCACTCCTCGTGTGTCAGAGGCAACACTCAGGTTGGCCCCGAATGAACAAACGTTTTTTGAGGTGTTTGGAAAAAAATTAAAAGTCGCCCCTCGGGGGGTTAACATCTTCCCGCCAGGCGCGCAGACGGGCAGTCACATAAAACTATGCACGTAATGAGGCACGTAACGAGACAAATAAGTAATCACATAACGGGCACGTAATAAGGCACATAACCGCATAACAAACAACACGCGTTTTGGCTGTCACGCCGCGCGGGATTAGCTAAAGGTGTAGCTAATGACGTCGCTGACCAGGCGGTACGACGCGTCCGGCGAGCCTCCCTTGGGACCCAGCTTTGTCCTGTCCGCCTGACCAAAAGAACCTTCGCGGCATTCATCACTGCAACAGTCACTCTCCCGCCCCTTGTCCTCCATGACATTCTTATCAACGCTATTCAAAACGGTCAGGTACTGATCAAAATTTACCCAAGGGTCCGTTTCGCCATCATCGGGGGCGGAGTAATAACACGGGATGAATAAATGGTCTCTAGCCTGATCATCTGGTTTGTCTTCTTTTCCGTTTAATGAAATGGGAGCAGCAAGATCCCTTTTCATTACACTTGGTGGGGCACGTGCCGATATCTCCTCATCGATTCCATCCCTTGTACTTGTACCAATCAGTTTGTTTTTCTTTCCCTCCACAAGTTGTTTCCCATTTTGAAAGTCGCACTCGGTGAGGGCTACGTCTCGTTCTGTTCCCCCTTGGCAGACTTGGTCTTCACTGGAGGAGTGACCACCCTTGAGTGGATCGTTGCCCCACCCCACAGCTGGCTCACTCACAAAATGCTTCTTCAAAAATTGACTCAAAATTCCATCAACTTTGAAAGAATCTTTTTCGTAAACAATTTTGGTTCTGCATGAGGGGCAGTTGTCGATTGAGTAATTTTGTATGGCTGTGGCTAGGCAGTTCCAACAGAAGGAGTGGAAGCAAGAATTTAAAGTCACGGGGTCGTGGATCAAACACAAGCAGATTGGGCATGTGTACTTCTCCGACGTGACGCCGGAGTTGCAGAGCTGCTGCATGAACTCGTCGGAGATGATATTCACTGAAGTGATAAGTTGGGGCAGCTCATCGGAGAGGCACCATGAGTAGGTGTCCACGATATTGGCTACTGCCTTGGCCACTGCGTTTGACGCGGCATTTGCCGAGGTGCTTGACGCCGATGTGAGGTGGTCCAGCTGGGCGCCCATCTCCGACTGCTCCGCGTGGGAGCCGCAGCGCTTGCGCCTCTTCTTGAGGATCTTCACCAACCCCACGTAGTTATACACCACGTAGGTCCTAATAACTTTGCACTTGTTCGAGAGCAAACTTAATCGAATGCAAAAGTCCAGCACTTCCTCAGACACCACTCCCCCCTCCTTCAACATCTCGAGCAGATTATCAAACGAGCAAATTCTTTTATTCACTTTTAACTCTTCACTGTTGAAAATGCGAGAGGCAAATTTCTTTTCAATTTCATTCTTCATGCCATTAATTTCAACAAATAATTTCCTGAACGTCATTTCAATACTTTCCAAATCGGCATGCAACAAACTTTCGAACTGGTCATTCAGTTGCTTCCTTTGTATGTGTCTTCCTTCGATGCGGCTTTCTCTAATTTGCTTGATTAACTTTTTTAATCCTTTGTAACCCAGGTAGTGCATCCCCGGGTGGTTGTGCATCTCCCTCCGTATGCTCTTTCCGAACTTCATCGTTGCTGCGGTGTGGTGTTGGAATAGAGTTGAGTGGAGCGAACTGGAGGTTGATAGGAACGCCTTCTGCGCAAAATAAGTTGCTGCTGCTAATGCTGCTTGTCGCGCGCCAAAACGGGAAAAAATGCAGAAGCGTGTGAGGGTGGAGCGCTATCCCATCCAAATGAAAGCTTTAAAAAATGGACCAAAAAATCAATAGAGGGGGCTGCTGTGTTACTCCGATTGGCCTTTGCTTATCGCGGTTTCCACCAATCGGAAGCCACGCGCCATGACCGCTCAACGGTACATTTCCTGCAACGGGGGAAAACCCTCGGCGGTCACTTCCTTCTGTATGAAGTGATGACCACTGCAGGGAGGGGGAGGCGCAAAGTCGAACTTGCGAAGCCGCAGCGTAACGTAACATAAAAAAAGGGCTATGCAAAATAAAACGGAAAAAAATGCGGCACGGATTACGCGAAAAAGGCGTTGTACGCGGGAAGCAAAAAAAGTGACCCACGCATGAACATGAATGAAGCAGAAGGGTAACAAAAATGGGGAGTACAAAATGCTGCACGCATGAAACGAAAGAGCACGAGGAAAAAACGGACGTTCGCAAAATTGCGATAGGGACTAATAAATCATGGCGACGTGTTTTTTTGTTCAGCAAATTGGCAGCTCACTTGGGCTATGCGGCGTTTTTTTTTTTTTTTTTTGGAATATGCACTTGCGAAGGTTCATGCGCGTTGGAGTTATAAGCGGCGTTTGAAAAAGTGAAAAAATTGGGATGCCCAAAAAAGCAGATATATATTTGGAGTTATCGGAAAGAGTAGAAGTTTTCCGAATTGATGGGAAAAACGGGCAGATGGGCTACAACACAGGAGAAAACACGTCCGCTCGAAGCGGCTGCAGTTGTTTGGCCGCTAGTATAGCATGCAGCACCAGGTGTACATAACATCAAAAGGGAAAGAAAAAGGAATAACCCATATGCAGACGGAAGAATGTCCAATAAAGGGACTTCTCTCGAAAGGGAAACAGTTGCGAGGATGCGTTGCTCCAAAATTGGGGTGGGGAAGTAAATTGTCCAGTGTTGAAAGGTGGACCACAAAAGTATACAATTGCGTGGTGGGTACTGTTTTTACCTGAACTGTTCAGGCGAGATTTGGGCAAGTTTGCGCTATTTTGCACGTTTTTTTTTTTTTTTTTTTTTTTTTTAGCCGTGAAATGGCTAGTCGCCCTGGTCGGGCAAAACCTCGCAGGCGAGGATAAAACAATTCTCGAATGGCGCCCCCGTCCGGGGCTCTTTTTAAAATGGTTTTTCAAAATTGAATTTGCAAAAGTTGTTTTTTTTTTTTTTTAAATGCATTTTTTGCGTATGCTCGTGAATACGTAAAGGGGGTGTGTGGGGGGGCGTACGTGTAACGTGCACGGACACATAATACATGGGGGGGGGGCGCAGCTGGGAACGTGGCGATGCGTAATAATAAATATATTCACAGTTGCTTGGACGTTGCGTGGCGTTGTGTGTGTTTTCACATCATGCCCATCGCTTGGCAAACCAAATGAAGGAGAGAGAAAAAAAAAAAAAAACACGCACGAACTGCTGGCCACCCTTCTCTTCTACTGCTGTATTACTGATTGGTTACGGCTTTATTACTGCTTGGTTAGTGATTGGTCACTGCTCGGTCACTGATTGATTACTGCTCGGTCACTGCTTCGTCACTGCTCGGTCACTGCTTCGTCACTGCTCGGTCACTGATTGATGTACTCATTGCAGTCGATCTTGTTTGGCATTTCCGAAATGGCAACTTCAAATCGCGTCTGGACCTCATTCAATGCTAAAGTGTCCTCTTGAGAAGACACGAACGTAACGGCAAGCCCCTTGGTACCAAATCGACCAGCTCGACCGACTCTGTGCAAATAGGAGTCTGAATTTTCAGGCATGTCATAGTTGATGACAATGTTTACTCGCTCAATGTCAATACCTCTTCCAAACAAATCAGTGGAGACTAAAATTCGATTTTCAAATTTTTTAAATTTGTCATATCGTTCAATTCTCTCCTGTTGGTCAAGGCCACCATGGATGGCAATGGAAGGGAAATTGCATTCAGTCAGCAATTTATCCAAGGTGATTGCCCTTGTGACAGATTTTACAAAAATAATAACTTGGTTAAATTCCAAGGCATCCAAAATTTCAATTAATTTTCTCGTCTTGTCCTTTTCTTGTAATTTCACATAATGTTGTAGTAATCCGTGGAGCTTCAATTTTGCTTCATCATCAATAAAAATTTCGACGGGGTTTTGTAAAAATTTTTTGCACACATCTCTCATTTCTTTTGCCATGGTCGCTGAAAAAAACATGACCTGTTTTTTTAAAGGAGTAGAAATAAAAATTTTCTGTACGTCACTCCTCATGTCCAATTTTTCTAAACACTTATCACACTCATCCAAAACAAAGTGTTGTATTTTGTCTGTTAATAAATATTTTTCTCTTATGAGTGCCAGGATACGTCCTGGTGTTCCTATAATAATATGCGGAATGCTTTCATCCTTAAACATTTTTATATGCTTGCTCATTGAGATTCCTCCATACACGACTTCACATCGGACCCCTTTTAAGTACTTACTAAATCGATCAAATTCGTTTTTAATTTGGTAGGCTAATTCTCGTGTGTGTGCCAGTCCGAGACATCTAACGAATTTATTTTTGCACGCTCCATCACCGTTGGTCATATCTCCAACGTTGTTGCTCGCGTTGTTCATATCTTTCTCTTCCTTTATGTCCTTTCCATCGTTCGTCTCTAGCTGCTGCAAGATGGACAGCACAAAAACGGCCGTTTTACCCATTCCACTTTTCGCCTGACAGAGGATATCTGTACCTGTGATGGCCGCGGGGATGGTCTCCTGCTGCACCTCCGAGGGGTGCTCGAAACCGCTCTCGCTTATAGCCCTAAGCAACTCTGGCTTCAAAAAAAAATCCTTAAACCCTCCTGTGTGCACGGTGGCATAGCTACCTCGCATGGCCCCATTTTCATTCACTCCCTTGTTACTGTTGTTTGCAAGTCTGCCGTCCAAATTGCCCTTAATATCCTTGGCATCTAATATGTTTTCGTCATCTTCGTAGTCCACGAGTTCGTCCTGCACGCTGTGGTCCATGGTGGCAAATCGTATTTTTTTTTTTGTCAGTGGAGTTTAACCGAGCTGGAACTTCGCGGGGCAACCGGCGCTATTGTAGAAAAGTGCAACAACAAGCGGGGGGGGGTGATATATAAATGTGCCGTGGGGAGGATTATTTGCGCAAGGAAAAAAGCAGGAGTTGAAAAAAAAAAAAAAGGGGTAGCAAAAAAAATGGAGGGAACTTTTTTGGAGTGGAGAGGAAATCTCTTGTTATTATGGCGAATGGCGCTTTACCAACTCGCTCTCACGCAAAAATATGCTTTTAAAAAAAAAAGAGAAATGGTTTCCTCACAATCTGTAAAAAAAACGGATGACACGTGCCCTTCTATATAATATATAACGTATAAAAGATGAATTAAACGTATTTTTTTTTTTTTTTTTTTTCCTTTTGTTTTGTAGCTTTGCAAAACGGCTGTTTAAATCACTTATTCATTTTCTTCGTGACTGACTGCCTGCGATTGGGTTATATATATATGTTATATTTTATATATCTCCTGCTGCGCCTTGTTTATATTTATAAATAGCTTAACATACTTTTTGTGTTCAAGGGTAAATTTGGCGAATTGTTTCGCTTGCTTTTGTTCCTTTTGTTTTGTACGTTTTCGTTTTTTTTTAATTTCGTAAATTGGGGTTTCCCTCTTGTTTGGTTTACAATTTTTTTTTGTTTTTGTTTTCTGTTTTTAGAACTTATTCGCCTGTACGGTCGTTTTGTTCACTTCGGCGGTTCGTATTTTTTATTTTTTTTTTTTTTTTTTTTTTTTTTTTTTTTTTTTTTTTTTTTTTTTTTTTTTTTTTTTTTTTTTTTCGTTTCTTTTTTATTGCCTCTTTTTATTATTCCCCCGCTTCGCTTTTTCCCCCTTCTGCAAGTGTTGGTTTTAACTTTGGTTATGGTTGGCCCTTTCGCCTTTTTTTACATTTGATTTGTTTTTGTTTTTGTTTTTTTTTTCCTCTGCAGATGAAGGGAAAAAAAACGGGCTTCTCCGCCCTACGGCAAGTATGCATTCACGATGGGGGGCGTAGGGGGAAAAAATGCGAGTATAATATATATATATATATATATATATATATATATATATATATATATATATATATGCGTATGAGCATTATATATGTATCTATATAGTTTTACCTATTGGGTGTGGGGGGGTATGTCGCTAGCCGCCCCCTGGGCACGGACACTCGACCGTATGCTAAAGTATGCCACCAGGGGCATACCAGAGGAGTGGAACATTTTTAAGAAAAATTTTACCCAAAAAATTGCAACACCGTGATGCGCATTTTTTGCAACAGCACGATGCGCCTTTTTTGTAACGCCTCGTTGGAAATGATTTATTTTTATGTGCACGTGGGTGTGACCTCTCCCTGCGTGGGTAACTCGCGCGAAAGTTGAACGGCACAAGGATGCACAACTGGTTATGGAAGTTTATTGTAGTTTCTAAATTGTGTAATCGAATAAGGCAATTTTAAAAACGCTCCAAGCGAGGGGGGAAAGTAAATGATCGGTGCGGGATCCAACTGTTTTTCGTGACCACTACGCTTCTCTCATGCTTGTCATCCTCATGGTGGGAGGGGGACTGTCTGTATATATATGTAACGATGGGGATAGCCACACCGAGTCACATAACCCCGTGTTAACTTCCTCCCACAAGGAACTTCTTATGGCAGTTTTCAACCGAATGGGCAATAACACCCCCCGTGGTTTAGATTGGATTTTTTTTTTTTTTTTTTTTTTTTTCTCTACCAAAGTGTACACCCCTGCACGTGCAGGACACATGGAAGACAAATGGAGGAGAAATGTAAGAGAAATGTAAGAGAAAAACGCAACGGGTGTGTTTTGCCCCTTTAAG